GTTCTATTAGTCATGCACAAAACGAGAAAAAAAATAATGTTATGTGTATTGTGTTATGACACACAATCATAAGCCACGCATATGAAGAAAATGGACTAATGTAACAGCGCTTAATGTAACATCTCGTCGTTTTTGTGTTAACAACTAGTAACATCAAATCATGTCAATATGTATTGATTTACCTCTGGATAAAAAAGTTGACGTAATAAATTATTGGTAAGAAGAAAAGAATCGCCTTGTACAGTCGAAAAATGATTGTAACTAAATACTTATAAGTAAAAGACAAAAGAAACCGACAATTTCTCAGTAAAGTGAACCTTTTTGATCAGTCCCAATGGTGCCCACATTAGAGAGCTTTTACCATAGATTCTTTTCTAGCGTTCTCTGTCCTTTCTGTTACTGTACGTTAACGTCATGATTTCTCTCTTTTCTTCTAATCTATTATCTTTCGAGAATATTTTCACGCTTTATTGCGCTTATATATATATACCGTAGCCAAAATTAAAATTTAGTCAAATTAAAAATTTGCCTAGTCAAAATTGAAATTTCTTTCTTGATGAACAGAAAAAGATAAAGAAAGACGGAAAATTAAAGCAGCAAGAAATTTTTTTTACTTCACAAAATTTATTAACAAATATCATATGAGGGCATGTGTGTGCGGATGCAATAAAGACGTCGCGCTCATCCATATCCATGTTCAAAACAAAATAGTCACATACCAGACACAGTCCACGCCCATATCTACAGTCACACTCAGACCCACACGTCGACATCCACACCGACACTTTACGGAATAGGAGTGTAGCAAATCCTAAGCCTTGCGGTTTGATATTGTTTGATTTGGCTTTGAGATAAGATTTGAATTCTATTTGAGTTTAAATTTGGATTTGATTTCAAATGACTCACATCTCAAAGAATTTGGTAAGATAAGATAACATCAACAATAATCTACTTTACTAGAGAAGCAGTACAACAAGAAAAAGATTTTGTGATTTGGCACAAAATTCTTAGTATTTGGATTTGAATTTCGTCCTGGAAAAAAAATAATATAAATAGTTTGCGTTTTAATAACGGTCGCTAAATTGCAAATTGTTTATGTGGATTTTGTCTAAAAGCAAATCCATGCTCCAAACCCAAATCAAATTCCAAGGTCATGGATCATAAATCTCAAATCTATTCTAGATTGATTGCATCCTTTCCCCAGACCCATATCCGTACCCTTTGTTAACAGGATTTTACCTTTTTCTATTCATCAAAAAAGAAATTTCAATTTTGTCTAGTCAAAGTGGAAATTTTAATTTTGACTAAGACTATATTAGACGAAATTGAAATTTCAATTTTGACTAGGCAAATTTTACATTTGACTGAACCTTAATGTTGACCACCACATATACATGTTCCTGTTCTCATTGACGAATTTACGGTGTTGTTTTGATTTTGAAAAAACATTCATCGTTTGTCGTTCGCTACGAAGTAGAGATATACGTATATCCTTTTTCAACAAACTTGTTTTTTACTTTTTCATTCAGAGGAAAATACAACTATTTGTCCTTTTTATTTCTGTATATTCTGTTTATAATTAAAACTAAACAAATGAAATTATAAGGAAACATCGAAGTCGATGACGAGTCCTATAATTTATATACTATTAATGACAGCAATGGGAATGGCTTGGATTTCGGTTATAACGAGTGAACAGATAATTTAGATGAGATTGAACCTTCTAATATTTAAAAGATGAGAAAAATTGTTGTTTTTTGATTATCATAAGATATTTATGTAGTCATTTTCATCCAAATAAAATAAGATGATTGAAGAATCACTTTTCGATTAAAAAACCTCTGTCCCCAAAGAGTTAATATAGAAAATAAATTTACTCATTGTTTAAGATTGTAATTACTTTATTTGCAAGGCAATATTTTTGCATAACAATTTTTCTTTAGTCGATATGTTTTTTCATTAATACCGCATCTCGATTATTTTTCGATTAATTCTGATATTTAAGTAGTTAGGAACTTAAGGTTTTTACCGTTTGGAAGAATGAAATGGAAAACGTGAAACAATGTAAAAACAAATCTGCTAATAACAAGGTATATATTAGTCACTTAACAATAAACTTATTCAAAAGCACGATAAGAAGCTTTAATATATCAAAAATCTGCAATTTCATCATTATCGTAACTAGCTCTGCTTTCCTAAACAGAACAATCTCAACATATTTTCTTGTTGAGTACAGTCAATGCAGAGACACTATTTACGATATATCTAACGTTCGAATCCATTGTCTTCCAGGTTTAAACATCAAGGATATGAACATTCTTCGACAATGTTGAGCCAAATTCGAAGATGCAAATACTCTTATAAACCGATCTATCAATTTGTAGATAGGTTTACGTCCTCCAATTTCCTCTTTCGAATAGTAATAATAGCAGATCTCTAGTAACTTTTTTTCTAGAGTTAGTTAAAAAGCAACGGATTACACTATATTGCTATAAATAAATAGTAATTATAAAATCACTTGTCATATATAATTTTTTCTTTATTATAAAGAATAAAAAATGAATCTATTTAGTGCAATAATGTTAGCGTCAATAGAGGTCGGTCTATTACTGCTAACTGTTCAGTCGTTTTCCATTGGTTTTTCTTCTTTATCTTCTCAATGAAAAACATATATGTTCTCTGGATAGTCCAGTGTTTATCTTCTGATCTTGTGATCTTTCTTCCAGTTTTTGCTTTTTCTCTTTCCCGGTGATACACTTGTTGCTACTGTTGCTATCATTATTATTGTTATTATTTCTTTCTTTTTTGCTATCTTGCTTTGTCTCTTTTCATTACATTATAATTATGATTTCCTATTATTATTATTAAACATTAACCAATTAATTGATCTATTTATCTTGATTCATTATTACAAGGTTCAGTAAGAATGTTTACTTGCTTTTACGTGAGATTTCTTGTTCCAGTGGCAGACTGGGGATCTAATATTTAATCGTCTTCTGACCTAAATCATAGAGTGGGGCAAGAACCTAAGAAATTCCTTAAACGAGTGGCTCACAAATAATCAGAGTAGGTGATGTCGTAATCCATTCGATCATGAAATTAATGAAGTAAACGAATAATTTATACCAATGAGTCTAAGGATATGAATAATTTTTCATTTAAAATGTTTATTTTCATTTTTTAATATTATGGATAATCGCTTTTGAATTTTGTACAACTGAATAGTTTAATATGAAGGTCTCATGAAAAAAAAACTGTTTTACTCAGTAGTAATCATTGTTATAAGTAGATTTAGTTCAACCCATTGACTCCCGGCTTTTCTTGCGAAAATCGAAATTCTTATAAAATACGTTTAACCCTTTCAGTCCCGGTTTTTTTTCGAAAAATTGAAGAGGCTTTTTTAAATTTCTTATTTTATTTTATTTTAATTTCCTTTTTAACCCTTTGAGTCCGGGTGTCCTATATATAGGACGCAGTTTAAATATTTATAAATAGAGGGTACTATTATACAATAAATTTTTTTTTAATTTAAATTACAACGTATTTTATCTATTTTAGTCGTTTTTTTTTAATTTTGTGTTAAAAAACCATTTTTTATTGTAAATTTTTGTATTTATAAATATTATATAATTATACAATTAAAATTATAAAAAAATAAAACCGGGACTGAAAGGGTTAAAGAAAAGGAGATTGTGGGGGATGTGTGAATATAAAAAATATTAATGGGATATATCAAGTTGAAGGTATTGTTGACGTCTATTGAACTGTGAAATTAGTTTAACTGCATACATTAATGTTGAAAAGAAAAACATGGGTGGCTCCTTAAGGAGCCATCCGAATTGAAAGGGTTAAATATGATTTTAATTGACTTTTTGAAACAAACTACAATTCTGTGTCAAAAAAAATTAATAGTTTATTTTTGTACGATACTCTTTAAAGTAATCAACAATACATGGAGGTATAATACAGTCATGACACATATATCGTGTATTACATTGAACATTATGGAATGTGCAAATCACGCATTGTCTTTCAGACTGTTTTGATTGCTTTGTCAAACGCCTTCTTCTTGAAACAGTTATTGTGATAACGATAAAAATTTTGTCAAAATAATTAAAACGTATCCTAGTGATATCTTTGTTTAATAATGGTATTCAGACGTATTTATACGTCGCCGGGAGCCAAAAGAGTTAATGTCAACGACGTTACAAATGTTGAAGTCATAATTTTCATCTGCAAGTTGTTGTCTATCATAATATCTTCATTCAATCTTAATCTGCCGATCTTTGTTTTTCATTATTGGTTATTCTTAAACCAATAATAGCATGTTGTTGTAGGAATAAAAGGTTAAAATAAGCTACATATAACTTGTACATTTTCTGACAGTAGGGTCAACATAATTCACATTGCTGATAACGATTGTAAGAGTGCAAAGTGCATATAGTTTATCTTGATCGGAATAAAATAACATAATTTCGTCGAAAGTTATCGAAGATAGTCTGAGCATTCTGAGGCTTGAATGGTGTATAGCATATTAAATTATCGAACGATTAATATTTTGTTCATATCCAGAAAGGTATACCTATAGAAGAGAATATAATAGGAAATAAGATTCGTATCAATTGACTATTGCTTTCAAGTTTTCTTTTTCTTGTACAAAATTTATTAATTTAATAAATCAACATGCTTATATATACATCTTATCTTGTCATTTTTTTTTAATCTTTATATGTTTCTATCGAAGAAATTCTTTTCTATTTTTGTAGTTGTTGCCGCTGCTAAAAAAAGTTGAACATGGCTTCAACTAGAATACCATTGTACCGTGTCAAAGGTACACATTATGAATGTGCACATACCATTGGTACTATAACACGCGAAAAAATTCATCATCGCATCGCTGAGGATTTTGCTAGTTTATCAGCATTGTTTGCATTTATTCAAACAGAATATGGACTTCAATTACATCGAAATTTTATTGAAACTATTCGTTTATTATATCCATGGTATTGGGATGAAATTTGTGGTTTAGCCGATGGTTCAGAAGTTCCATTAGAACAAATACTTGTTTTGAATTTTTTAAATGAAACCCAAACAGCCTATAAGTTATTAGAAGAAAAACAAAGATTAAATTCAACAAATGATAAATCTATCAATGAAACTGGTGCAAAAGGTTGTACAACAGTTCTACTTAATCGAAAAGATACAAATACATTTTCATTGTTACATAATGAAGATCATGCAGCAGCGTTATACTTATCTGCATATCTTGTTGAAGCTGATATTCAATCGAGTGAATATGATAATGGAACACGTCAAAGTCCAAATGAAAAATTTATTGCTTATTGCTATGCAGGTTCTATTCCAGGTAAATAATTATTTATTTTCGAGGTTCACATATGTTATTTCGTATGAACTATTATTTTCTTTTGATAATGAGTGATTCATCAAAGTCCAATAGACTGATTTCTTATTATTCTTAACAACGAAGGATGGAAATGATTTTTTGTCAAAAAAAACACAAAAAAAACAGGAGTGTCCGGATTCCACGAATTCTGAGCTCCTGAAATTCTCAAAAGCGCAGTTTCTTTCACGAAAGATTGTAGACTTCGAGTTCGGTTTCAGTTATCTCTAAATCCACACTCATACCTTTTGAAACGCTACAAGTGATTCCTGAGCTTCATGAATTCTGAGGGTACCGTGAGTGAAGTTGCAATTTTGAGAGTTCTAGGAGTTCAAAACTCATGGAATCCGGACACGTCTCTTACTTTTCCTTCTAGGAAATGCTTTTGGTGCTAATAAGTATAGTTTTGCATTTGCTATGAATGGTCTATATCCGAATTATGTTGGACATTGTCGTTTACCGCGACAAATAGTTAATAGAGCTCTATTTGCAGTACGAAATGAAAAAGACTTAGATAATCTACTTCGTATATCCCCGGTGGCATTTGGTTTTTGTATCAATGGAGCCTTTTATCGTCAACAAAATTATTTACTTAATTATGAAATTGGACCTAATTTAAAGACTGATAATGATAATTATATAAGTAAATGTCTTATAATAAATAATGATCAAAAAATAGATCAAAGAAATGGTAAAAAGAATTTATCAAATAACTAAATAGACTTATTATTTTTTTTCTTTAGATGAATGTGAAACAGCATTAAATTATCTGGTACATTATAATCATTATGAACGTTTAAATAAAGTAATTATTGAACAAAAATCTCTTCAATCAACACATAGTCGTTGGAGACGTGGTCAAGAATTCGGTGAATTATTTACAATTAATGATGCAATCAATTTACTCGGTGATAATGAAAATGAATCATTTCCAATATTTCGAAATTCCAGTAAAATTGATGATACACTAACACTGTGTACTGTGCATTTTAATTTTAATACATCACAATTATTAATCTATCAACATAATCCAAAATATAATAATCAACCTTCATTTATTTATAATCTAACCGATTTATTTAATTAAAAAGAATTAACAAAAAAAAAAAATAATAAAATATTTTTTTGAATAACCCTATAAATAAATTTATTTTTAAATGAAATAAATAAATAAACACTTACAAAAAAAATATTATGATAGTTTGAAAAGATTCCATAACTAATCCCCTCTCTCCTCCAGAACAGAAAGCCAACCACAAGAAAAATTTTACAAAGTATAATAGAAAATCATAGGTTTTCAAAAATTTGTTTTCAGAAATCCAGTGAATTTGGCGAACTTTAACACAAAAAAAGCCTATTTTTTTGAGTAAAATACTCGTTTTTTTGTAATTGAATTTACTTGTTTTCTAGTAAGAAAGTGTTTTTCCAATACTAAGTTGCTAATAGCGTCTATTTAAATATCAGAAAATTTTTTCAAGAACCCTGGATTTTTTAGGTTAATAATATTAGCAAAAAACTATTCCGCAATATAAGATCACTTATTGAAGAGCGATATGAATTTCAATAATAGAATATCATAATTGTTCTGTTCTTGAAGGACGAAGGAGAGTAGAGTTAAACAATTTTCGATGATATTATCAGATATCAGATTACAATATCCAATGATAAATTGCCAAAGGAAATAATTATCTTTCCTAGAAAAACGAGGGATTTATACTGTTAGAGTTTCGTTTCTCTCCTTTCTTTTATTTATTTATTATACATATATATGTTAGATCTTATATGTACTAGTGTATATACACGGTCATCATTATAAACAGGAATGAAAAAACAAACATAACATATTGACCTACTAACTGATGAAAAAAATGCATTTATTTTTTAGTGGTTTTATCCAAATGCACTATGTGAATAGTTTTTTAAAACTGAATCATAGATAATGATTTATATATATTTAGAATCAGTGTAATATTAGTAATAATTTCTGATAAATATTTTGCTGGCCATTTCCAGAAAAATTGATAGATGATGCTCTATGCTAACTCGTTGTGGCATAGGGACGATGTAATCCTACGAAAACGCTGGAAATTATTTTAACACTTAAGGATACAGAAATCTGAGTCGAATAGATGGTTTAACAATTTGTGAGGGCGTTTAATCTGTCTATATCAGGTACATCGATTATTTTGCTTTAGTTTTTACGTTTCATTATTTATGCTAAAGATGACACTAGTTAATGACACCAACAAAATAGAGATTAAAAAAAACGATCATGATGAAAATATTACATAGAAATATTCTAACATACGCCCAATTTTTCTATTTAGTTAATTTTTCATTTGGCTCCGTTCTCAAAAATGAACTGAACAAGTGCATCAGTGAATTCGTTGTAGAAATGATAAAATGAACTATTCATATCAGCTTGTATGTCATACAGTTATAATATGTATAAAAAGAACAAAAAAAAAAGAAACCAATAGAGATCAAAAGAAGATGAAAGAAGATATTAGATAACATAAAATAATGATTATGTCAACGTACGACATCATTGTAACATGTATGTAGCGGAAAAATCATTTCTGTTTCATAATTTTCTATGCTGAATAATTAAAAATTTTTCAAACTGAAATTAGAAAAAAGATCGGGTCACAGTTTTTTTGATCACCACAAAAAGATAGTTTTGATCACCAAATTTTTCAACATTCATCCAATATATTTATTTCTCCCAAAAAGTATAACATTCAAAAAAAATGAAATAATTAACAAACAAGGAACACTTCAACAACTTTATTAATTTCTATTTACCGTAAGCTATGCTAACTTTCTTGGGACGTCCTTTTCTTTTTCGTTTACCTAATGCTTCAACAAGTGACTTATCATTAACTTGGTATAAATTGAACAGAATTCCTACACCAACCGAATGTTTACATGAATAAACTTTGAGTCCAACCGGACATGTACATAATTCTAATGACAATATTTAAATGAATATTTTGTGGAATTCTCAAGATTATTTATTTGATATTGACACACACCATTTGATTTAGCAACAACTTTAATCTCATCAAGTGAATGAACTATACTTAACAAAGACCAGTTTAACGTTGACATTTTTCAAATGAATATCTTCAAGTATTTTGTATAAATGTGTGCACCGGCCACTGACCCAGTGATACAAATTACTGTTTATATATAAGATACGGAAAAAAGAGACAAGCTGATGAAATGCAAGTGATACTAGATAAACAAGCTAGAAATGATGCAACATCACAACGATTTGAAAAATTTGGTGATCAAAAGCATCTTTTTTCGGTGATCATTTGTATCTAAAAGTGTGTGATGATCAAAACAATCTTTTACGAGTCATGATTTGTATTTTTAATTGTTTGATGATCAAAACTATCTTTTTATGGTGATCAAAAGTCCTTTTCCCCAAAAAGATCCTTTGTATAATCATCATAATTTTATGCCAACAAATAATAATCATAAAGTCAATTGTTTGTTTCGTATTTCTTTATAAATTTTCTTTGTGTCTAACATAAATTTAATATAATTCCATTTCATTCTTTATCCTTGTTAAAACCTTGAATATTTTGAATTATGAAGGTCACCGTTAAAATAATTTTATCTTGATGAAATATCATTCATTCATGAGTTTTCTTTGAAATAAAACTTGTTACTACATTCTTCTTTTTGAATAAAATTAATTAGATTACTAGGTTTTTTTTGTTAACTAGATTTTTATAAGAACATTTTGAAAAATAAAAATAAAAATATTTGCATACAGAAAACCCTAGAAAGAAAATTTTTCATTGAACTTTACTATTTCTTGTTTTCATAAATTTTTATACATAAAGATTGTCAATTATGTAGCACATTTCCTAAAGTAATGTCATCTATGAAACGAACATATTGTGCAAGGTCAAAACAAAAAATAAAGCTTTTATAAGACTTAGTTTTGATAAAAAATAAACTGAAAGTTTTAATTTATTAAGTCGTATACCTTCGATACATCTTTTATAATCATTAGACTTCTAAGCAATAGGAAACAATCTAATATTAAGAAACAATATATAAAATGAATAAAGTAGAATACTGGTACATTCGAATTATCATATCGTCAAAATTAAAAGCAAATCTAATCAACGGAATAGAAAACATATCAATGCTATGCTGGATAGAAAAAAACCAATGATTGTAGACAAGATAAAAGAATTGTTTTGTGACACTTTACTATCTGTAATTAACGTCCAAGGCTTAGGTGCGAACATGTCCAAAGTGCGAAATATGTGTTCTATAGTCATATGAGTCTAAAACATTGCCATAGTAATGACATACGGATATGAGTTTATGTGCATGCAACACTTGTCATTTTTAATCATATATTACGAAACTCATTTTATTTTAATATCAACATAAGTCAAAATGACTATGATCAAAACACTTCTTTGTGCTCACAGTTGGATACAGACATAACAGATGTATAGAATCAAGTTTTTGAAACACTGCATAATATTTTTCTTTTTTTTTTTAACAATCAGCTTTATTAACATTTAAACTATATATAAATATATATTCAAAGAAATGCAAAAAACATGGAGTAAAAAAATTTTCGATTCAATTGTATTATATATTCTTTCATGTTGAGAAACTTATAAATTAGATTTGATATGCTTTTTTTTTATTGATGGCATTAACGGAAATTCGTGATAGCATATAAGAAAATATATTCAGACATGGTTAGTTTTCTAGTTTGATTATTATTTTAAACATTGATCAAAAATATGTGGCATAATGTTGTTCGTCTTGGTCTTGTTCGAATTTTTTATCCATCTTTAATGATATTTGGTACAATTGGAAATATATTATGTTTAAAAATTCTTCTTCGTAAACGTTTTCGTCATCAATCAACATGTCAATATTTATGTATACTTGCCGTTATTGATATTCTTTTTATTTATATGCGATCAACACGTTTTTTATATCGACATATATACAATTTTGAACTACGTAATACATCATTATGGATATGTCGAACATATATATATTTTTCATCAACACTTTCACATTTAGCATCATGGATATTAGTTATTGTTAGTTTTGATCGATATTTCATTATAAAAAACTTCTTTTCACACCGTCATGTAGGTTGGCGTGTAATTAATTCAACATGCGTACTTATCTTAATTGTATCTATTGTTAATGTTCATTATTTTCATATCGTAGGTAAAAAGAATTGAAAATAAACGAAAAACATATTCATTTATTTTTATTCTTATTTAAAAATGTCTCTTCTTCCTATATTTTATAGGAACTACAGTATCATTACCATCTCATATGGTTCAAACAAATAAAAATATTTCGAACGAAACGTATGTTCAAACTATCCGTTTCGTATGTATGGCACGTTCACCTTTTAAAGAATTTTTTCGTTTATACGTTCCAATATTTGATTTACTCTTTGTTGCTATAATACCATTTTGTCTTATGACATTTACGAATATTGGTATAATTCGTACAACAATGCAATCAAATACGTTATGTATATCACAAAGAAGACAAAAACGAAATAATCGTTTAACCATTATGTTATTATCTGTTATATTAGCGTTTATGCTCTTAACATGTCCATCAGTTGTTTATATATGTTTAAATCGTTTGACATCATCAAGTACAGTTTCTAATACAAAATTAGTTATTCTTGATTTACTTGAATCATTATGGTATACAAAACATGCACTTAATTTTATATTATATACATTAAGTGGACAAGATTTTCGAAGAGAATTTCTTAAATTACTTCCATGTTATCGACGACAACCATCAAATTTATTAAGTAATCAACAAAAAGGTCACAGTAATAGTATAACTATAGGTGTTAGTATGTTTTCAAATAAATATCATTTTCGGCAAGTAAACAATTATTTTAACACTAAGATGAATGAAAAATAATGAAATAAATGATTTATCATTACTGATCATTATAAAATCATTACAAGAAAAAAGCCTTAATGATATAGACGGTAAAATTGCTGGTAATTTTGTTATAAGTATTGCATGTTGAAATGCACAAATGACAACGTTAATCACAAATGATTTATGACAATATTCATCAATGACTAGGACATTAATACATCAAATGCAATGAAAATGTTGTATTTTATTTCTAATAAAATTATATTGCTGCATATTATAGAGTTACTATATTCAAAAAGAATAAATGCGATATAGAAAAATGGATATTAGAAAAAAGATAAACATGAACCACTGAACGAACAGCACAATATTGTAATATTTGAAATATTGTCTCACGAGGGAACGTTTTCAACTAATCAATTGCTTTCTCATCGAAAGCCAGTGGATCGTAGTCTATCAATCAGGCTGATATCGAATATGATATTGAGAAAACTCATCGAGTCTGCATATCCTGGTTTTCTAGCCTAACAAAATTTTTTGCTGTGATTTGTCCAGATTATATAGCATAACGCATTGTCTAGAAAACAGTAAGTTTTTCTGTTTCAAATCATTAGTTTTTTTTACACGAAATACAACCATTTTAATTTACACAACAAATTCTATATGCCAACATTTCAATGTGAAAATCTTCAAAATAATATTATTTTACTGAAAACTCATTTTTAGGAAACAGAAAAAAATCATTGTCCTATAGACAACTAGATATGTTTTATAATCTGGATTGATCTAAAACGATTGAACAAAATTTTTGTTAATCTAAAAAACCAACAAATAAAAATCTAATGAAACTTTTTATAGTCATATTCAGAATCAGAGCATGGTCGATAGCTTACAATTCACTAGCTTTCGATGAGTTAGAAAGTGACTGATCAGTTGAAAACGCTTTCTTGTCAGTAGAATTTAAATAATGCTCAATTTGATGGTTGTTATCATGATTTCTAAAATTTACAAAGAAATGACAATAATTCTTTGGAAAAATTCTTAAGATAAACAGTCTAATTAACTTTGAAGTATATCCTATCGGCTTCATACGAATTCAAGTCAAGAGAAAAAAAGGTTTGAAACGCAAAAAAAAAAACAGAAGATTATTTATCTTTGAAAAATATACTACAAGGACAAACCAACAATGACCTTTCAAATCGTGGTTTTTTTAATAAGACTTAGAATTAAAAAATGAATCTTATGAATGATAAAAAATTTGAAATGAAATGTTTGATGTTCAAGAAAACTTCAACTCATATTGGATGTTTTTCGATCCACAGCTATATTATTCTTACATAATTGGTCTAGTGGAGTTATTCTCTACATGCCTATATGTCATTGTGAATAAATTAAGAAAAAAAAGTGTTCCTTTTATTGATATCTTGTTAATTATGTAAAAAACGAAATTCAATCTTGATTAATTATTTATTTGAAATGAATCATTCGTTTTTTGCTATGACTGATCGACAAAAAATAATGATTGAAACTGATTCATCATCATATAGCAATTTTTCTATTATTATTTTTTGAATATAAATTTATTTTGCTTACACCATAAAAAAACTTATCTTGAACTTTTTATTTCATATATTTATCACTGAAAAATCAATATAGACCATTATTGTCAAAAAAAAAAAGATTTTTCGATCAAACAGTATCTTGAAATTCTTCAAAAACAGGATAATGTGATTGTGAACCAGGTCCATGATTATTATACCAAGCATCAAGATCAACTTGAGTATTATGTGTTTGTAAAACTCGTACATAATCATCAAGCATTTTATTAAAAACAGCTTGTTGTTGTAATGTTTTAATATATTCAGTAAATATTTCTTTCAAAAAATCTAAACGTTTCTTTTCAAATGCTTGTGTACGTTGAAATGTTTCTATCATATTAGCTTCATAACGTTGCCTTGGTTCAGCACCAGGTGCAATATCACGTAATAATTGTTGATATTTTGTTCGTGCTGTATCAGTATTAAGTTTAAGTTGTATATAATTATCAACAAGTTGTTTTTGTGTTTCAGCTGGTGTTTCAGCTGGCATTGATAATTTTTGTTCGTCAGCTTGTTTTAATAATTTAGCTAATTTATAATAATTTTGTTTTGCTTCATGAATTGATTCAAGTAATTTATTCCATGGTTTTTGTACCTGTTCGAATTCTTTTTCAAATTCTTTTGATTTTTTATAATTTATTATTGATTTTTCATAATTATCTTTTCTCCATTGTTTTAATTTTGGTTGTATATTATCATGTAAATTTGATGCTATTGTTTGATGTATATCAGCCATTTGTTCACCTGTTGATACAATTTGATCCCAAACTTTTTTATTTGATGGATATTCAGATAATTTTGTTAATTCACCATGCCATTTTCTTGACCAAGAACGTAATGCATTAACATATGTATGTTCTAAATGCGATCGTTCTTCAAACATGGTTGAAAGATGTCCAAGCAATTCATTACCAAATTCATATCGATTAATACAACGTTCATATTGTAATGGTTCAAAAAAGCCACGACTTGGCGTACCAGTAATTGATGTAGAAGTTGTATTCGCTGCCATTTAGATACCAAATATTAGTTTAGTTATTTTAAAAAGCGCAGACACGTGCAGATATGCGTGAAAAAAGAAAAGGACGAGGCACACAGTAAAAAAAAATCACTACTGCTACTAAAGAGTGTCGATGAAAAAGAACGAGCAAAAAAAAACTTGACGAAGAAAAATAAACCTATTCGCTACTGCTGTTGACATTCAAAAAAAAAATAATTGTATAAGCGTAGGAGCGCAATTGTGTGCTTTGGTAGTCATAATGTTATCTTTGCAGTTACTGTTTGCTAGCAATAGGTGTTAAATATGAGCTATTTACAGCTTTTATTTGAAATGACAATAATATACTTTTGATAGATATTAGTCAAGTTTTCAAATAATTTTTCATTCAACATTATTGAGTAATCATGTCTCATAGATGATTAATAAACGTTTTTTTTCTTTTGATACAAAAAAAAAACATTTTCTTTTATTAAAAATGAACTTGAAACGTATGTTTTCTTATCAGATAAAAAGTCGTTGACAAATATAACTAACAAATACAATTTATGAATCATTTGATGATGCAAATACATTGTTTTTTTTTCTTCAGACAACAAAAATCGATGTTAAAGACAAATCAAAATTTGTGGACGCATCGACGATTAAGTATCTAAAGAATTAATCAGATAAAAAACTAAAAATGACTGTTATGTTCAGCAATTCAAATCAGTTCATTTCAATTCTTGAATTAAATAAATTGAATTGAAACTGAAGAGCGTCGCAAGACGCGTATCCTAGCGAACTTACAATGTCCTACAGTGCAGGACGCAGGACCTTCAAGATAATATTGAAGGTGTGCAGGACATCAAATCACCTAATTGATCGTGATTCAAGGAAGTTCTGATCTAGTAATGAAACTCATCGCAGTTTTCCATTATTATCTTCAATAGTAAACAGAAGAATCAATGCCATACCAGCGACTAGTGCTTTGATGGAAAGATTATTTAGCTTAGCTGAATTGACATTTACTCAAAGATGAACATGTTTATCATCAAATCAAATTGATAACATATTACGTAATTATTCGTTGATATGAGAAATTCAAGAAAACACGATAGAAAGGTGACTTATCCTTTCTCGTTGTTCATCTGTTTATATTGATTATATTTTGAATTCTGTATCTTTATACTTGCTTTATTATTGTTTTGTTCAGTCTATGGATTTCAAATATCCTTTTTTTACTATTCATTTCATTTCTACTGAAAAACATATGATAAGGTTTAGTTACATGAGTATGTTGTAAATGATTTTTGTATAAATAGTGTGTCTATGATATTTGACATCGTACTTCATACACAGATATGTTTTTCTTCGTGTAGAAAATGTGACGAAAAGATCGTTCTGCAGATCAGACGCAGAAGAATCCTTTGCCCTACAAGGTGCTTCCTGCTAAGCCGATCTTTTTCATGCTTTGTCCTATGTCCTGCAAAATGCAGGCCAGAACGAAGAAAACCGTCCTGTGACGTTCTCTAATTGAAACATTTAGTAAAAATCTATGACTTCAATGTAACAACGAAATTTCTATTCATTTTATTCGAAAGAATTGTTTTTACAAAAAAAGCCTTAAACAATAGAGTATCGTGATTTATTTGTGTAACATTTCGTTAAAGTATTTATATAGATCTATTCGAATTTTATTCGTATTTCTATCGGTTACCATTCTGTTTGCATGATATTACCACTATTTGTGTTCATTACTTATATAGTATGCTAGTATAGGTAATGCACCTGAATCGTTGACTAACCGATGTATATATTTATCAACTTGGTTTATGAATGCATTGTTCTTCTCTTTACATGTTTATTGAGATTTGCGCGCAGCATCGTGTGTTGGATTTCTCTAAAATATAGCCGAGTGTTTGAAGTAAAAATACTGGCTAATTCAACTGAATTGGAACTGGTTGTTTTTTTGAAACCGATGAAATGAGTTCAATTGAATTGACAAAAATTCTTCCATTGTTTAGGAGCTGAACTGAATTCATGACTTTTTTGAGTCGAGTTGAGTTGATCAGTTGTGACCAATGATTATTCTCCAGTTTGTGAACAAATTTTTGAATTGTTTAATCAAGATGTTTTGAAAAAGAATGTACAGTAGCATTTTGAAGATATGTTGTTCGATGGTCTTCAGTAAAAATCGAAAAAAATCCAATAATGAAAGTATATCTTTTGATAATCATAGCTATAGTTATATTGTTGGATGTTTTTTGACAAATAATTCCAACATAAACATAGTATACAATATGTCTGGCTTTTGTATTGAATTGTGAATATGTTTATGAGAACATATGAAATTCTCAATTGAATTAGGAAAAAGTTTCATTATCTTGACAAATTTCTACATTCTACATTCTACATATCTGAATTAACATATGTTGTCACTCGATGATAACTTTAAATATCGATTAGTATATTCTCATTCACCTATTTGATGCTAATACGATTAATACCCATTCTTATTATTTTACTGTTGAAAAGGTATCTTTAGTTAATTAATATGGAAGCGAAATGATGATAATTTTAAGAATCTGATTTACGATGTTTCAATAGGATTTCAAAGGATTCATTGGATACAAAATGACTATAATCGCAATGATAAAAAAATATGAAAAACAGGTTGTTGTTGCTCTATAATGAAGTACCCTATACTAATACAATTTTCGGTTAATTTTTATGAAAAAATATATACACGTATTTTGAAACGATGAATTTCGTTGTTTAATATAGAGAAATTTAATGAAAGAAATAATTAAAGTTGAATTTTTCTTAAATAATAAATTATTCACTTAAGTATGAGTATACTATATTTCTACAACGGTATACATAATAATAAAGATTGTGAGAAATATAGATTAGTAATCAATAGGTTGTGATAGCTTCACGTATTAAATATTGAATTACGTATTCATGCAAGTATCAAGATTCCGTCAATAGTCCTATATTGATGATGTCGACACGTCTTGAGTTTAAACTTTTCATCCAATGATTTTTGTCTATGAAATTCATCTAATAAACATTCAGTATAGGAAATAACATGTACAACATAACATTGTACAGTTTTTTGAAGAATATTAAGTTGTGGCGCATTTTAACCGAATTCTATAGTCAATCGATACTAAGTTTATCTCAAGATGTAAGCTTTTCTTGTCCTATGAACGTTGTCTTCAACCGCTGAGATCAGCGCCAAAACTTGATCATTTATAGAACACATCTTTAGAAGACTTTAAACGTGTATATACATATTCTCAAAAATATGTCTGCTACTCAACTTCGAATTTAGTATAATCTGCTACAATATGTTATTCTATTTCTCATGCGAATACATGCCGTAGCGCGTCATTTGTATGTACAGCAGAGTATCGTTTTTTTGCACTAGCTAAGTTATGAAAAAGTAAAATATATAAAACATTTAGCTCTATTTCTGTCACTGACGAGGGAATATATTCAACAATTGGACGTCGTTCGATTTCATATTATGACTATGAGTAAGTCTCTGTAGGATAAAGAAAAACTTGAAACGAGTTGAACCCAGAGTCTATTAATAAAGAGTTATGACTGTTTTAAAGAAGTTTTTACTAAGAGTAAAGTATTTTCAAAAAACCCAAAACAAAGATTTTTGATCTGAAATTTTCTCTATAGTGAGATTTAATAGTCATTAGATGATTTATATGGTATTAGCAAAAACAAACATGTCTTTCTCGAGGTACTCAAATTCTCATTAGACTCGATTACTGTGTCCTCCTATAGTAAACTTTTGTTTTTTTTCGAAATTGAATATCTCAAAAAAAAGACATGTTTATTTTCGATAACATCATATGAATTATCTAATAACTATTAAATCTCACTATAGAAAGAATTCCAGGTCAAAAATCTTTGTTTTGGACTTTTCGAAAAGGATTTGTTCTCAATAAAAATTTCATTAAAAATAGTCACAACCTTTCATTAATAGGTTATGAGCCCGAGTTCTTTCCAGTTATCCTTAGTCTTACAGAGATCTACTAATAATCATAATATGAAATCGAACAACATTCAACAGTGAAATATGAGGCCTCGAGAAAATTTATCTCAGATATCCACGTCATTATTGGCATTTGTCTTAGATGAAGGTAATCAACAAAAATCGGCATTATCGTCACTTGGGAAATCAATTTTTTTTTCTTTCCTGTAATATCATATCCATACATGATTGAGCTACTCTATAGAGCATATAAAACAATTATTAACAATGTATACGCATAAGTTTTTTTTTCCATAGATGTGTAAGAAAACAAGTATTTCATTCTTTTTTAATAAGTTACTTTTATTATCATTTCCTCTATATGTTGTCATTGAGTGCAATTTGTTATTTCTTTTTTTTCCCATTATCAAAAGTTGACGTAGTATCAAGTACATTATTGCTCATTAGACATCTACATAGAAGCTATGTTATCCGACAATTATATATTTTCTTTTTTTTGTTCTTCTCTTTTTCAAATTACTCATTTTTTTAAAATATTTCTCAATAGTCTTTTTGTTCTAGCAGATGCCTAAAACATGTAGGTGTTTAGTAGCATAAGCAAAAAGAAAGGAAACGAAAGAAGTCGTCCCTACTTTGCTAATAAAAGAAAGAAAAAGAAAAAAGCCTGCCCATTTTGAAGTGATGGTTTCTGTTAAGAAAACTTATTCTTAGTATTAAAAATCAAAAATAATAATAAGTATACTTGTCGTTTGTTTTATTTTTTTTTTATAAAAGTCAACGTGCTCGTTTATAAAAAAAAAAAAGAAGGAAAAATTTATTTTCTTCTAGGACAACCATGGATGATGATACGCAAGCAATTGCCATAGGTCTTGGCGCTGGTCTTGGCGGGTTTGCTGGCCTTGTATGTTTTTTTAATTCTATTAAAAATTAAGTGAATAATTAAGGATACTTTCTTATTTAGTTACTTATTGGTTGTATTTGTTGGCAAATACTTTGTGGCTCGTAAGTTAAAATGCATATTATTTCATATTTTATTGTTATTATTATTTAATATTTAGTTGGTGTGAAAAGAAAAAAGTTCAAGCAAGAGTAAATCCAATTCCAGCTAAAAATCAACGACATATAACGACAGTAACTAAAGTACATAATAATTCATTAATTATGACAGATATGAACAATACTAATGTTAATCCTGATTTAAAATCGAGTACTGCGAATGATTTAGCAAGTAACGTCAAATCAGCACGCCGATGAAATTCTAATACGTACACACATATATATATAGGAAACAATTCGTGTCTTTTTCTTTTGTGAATTTTGAGAAATCTTGAAAATAAATATTCATGTCTATCAACTATTTATAGACATGTTTTGTTAGATATCTTACAAAATTTTTATTTTTACAATCAATGGTTCGATTTTGTCTATCAATTTTATTCTTTTGATTAACGATCAGTTTATATTTTGTCAATGATTTATTTAATTATCAAAATATTCAGCAACTCCTTCATAGTGAATTATATAAATCAATTTTCATTGAAATATATTTTTATAAAGCTGATCATGATTTTATTTGTACATATGAACAAGTTCATAAACATGATAAAAATTTATTGTATGAAACAAAAGTAAAAAGAAGAAATATTATATTTTTATAATATTGAATGTTTCAGTAAAAATTATGATCGTACATGTGTAAAGTTTCGAGAAGAAGCATGAATGTAAATCAAGTGAGTTTTTATATGTACATAAATATGTTTTTCTAATACAAAGGTTTTTTTAAAATATATATGGAATTAAGCTGATCTTACATAACTCCGTAAACTATATTCAAATGCTTCATTTTATCGTTTAACTAATATGCGTAACACATTCTTGAAAAGATAGAGACTTTAAAAATTAGCTATGAATACTTAATTTCCTTTTTTAAAAATCTATACTAATATAATACATTCCAGATTGACATCATCATGTAAATAGAATTGTATAGAAGAAATAATATTTGAAAAAAACTATCGAAATTATCAGAAAACATAATTTAGATTACTATGATATGAATGCATTGAGAGGTTTAAAATCATTTTTTAGTAATTACGAGCAATACAGTAGTAATTTAAAACTTCTTTATTATTATCAAATCCTTTTTGTTGTGAAACATATGTTGAAAGAACTAGAGAAGGTATGAAGAAAGAAATTTAAATTCTCTCTTATTCATGAACTACACCAGTAGAAGTAAAAAAGGCTCTACTTCTGCTTGATTTTTTTTAGAATGACACATGTGGAAAATATGGCTACGGCCTCATTTGATGGCATATTAGGCTCAGTGGAAAACGATACATTTACTATTAGTTTTTGCAAAAGGTATCGCCAAGAATGTGTAAATAAGCTTTTTCTTATTCATTTTCATGCAAATCACAAACTATGATAGGTATTATAAGACGTCTCAGAAGTGTCTTCGTCTTTTCTCAGCAGAGAATCTCTCAAGAACTTAAAAATCTCATCGATTGAGATTATAATGATTAAATAAGGAATAGCTATGAATAAACTACCCTCAGTTAAGTTGAACACAAGTTGCTTCTAGTAGAAATTATCAATTTTCCAATTTATAAGCGAAATTTTGAATGTTGCTCTTGAATATCATTTTGCGCTGAAGATACAAAAATTATGTAGAGCTGAATTTTTTACTGTGTTTATCTGAAACACAGGTACTAATTGCTAGAAAGTTCTACCTCAAAAAGGTGACGATTGAGATTGAAAGAAAATTATTCAACCTTGAATAGAATCACTTACAGTTTCAGTATTCAAGCATCGCCTGTACATGTATTGGATTGCTCTGGATAGATATAGATGTGTATGTAAACTTTCTCTATTTATCTACCCGAAGAATAGTTTACTACTGAAAACGATGAGTATTCTATTTTTAAAGACTTCCATAATTGAACTCAAGTTTTAATTATTATATGTATGATCCATATCTTAGTTGCATCCATGCATTTCATTGTTCGATGTGCTGTAGTTCAGAGTTGTTTCATTTTCTTTATTATACAAAGCCATTGTCCATATTAACACAAATGTATTGAACAATTGAACAATTGATCAACTAGTTCTTCTTCTTAAAATGAAGTAAGTGATAATAGAGCTAGAAGTTCTGCAGACGCTCGTTTCTGGAGTAGTTGCGTGTTTTGAATCACTTCATTCATTATGTCTATACTTTAAACTACGATCAACAACAATGTCTGTCTTTTCATATGGCCAAACAATATTTTTCCTTCTTTCTTCTAGCACTTGCATTGTCGCATGCATGCATGCATGCCATAACAACTGAAACAGCTGAGAAGTAATAAACAGGTCATTACCAATTCTCTCCTGTTTTCTGTGAATCTCATACGTTAAGATGTGAATGTAAATTTATATCGAGGTTTTCTTTCCTCTCCGCTTGCAGATACGTGCATCGAAGGAACAGTTGCTGCATTGATAATTATTAAATAAACACATGAATATTTAATTATCACATAATGCTTTATTTTTGACTTGATCCAGTCTTCAAATTGTTTTTTATAAGAATTGTATACGTATATTTATATAGCTATCAAATTATTTCTTAGTTTATATGAAGTATGTGAGTTCCACATTTAATTCCTTAAGAGACTGTGCTGACAAGCTTTTCTATTTGGCATTTACGCATATACACAAGTAACAAAATGATTAATATTTTATTGCAAAAGAATTTTATTCAATTGATAAAAAGAGGAAGAAATACATTAAAATTTTTACAATAAATAGTCTAGCTTTACTCGAGACTAATATTTAAAAAAAAAAGTTGGTTAAATCAGTTTTTCTTCCTTTGTTATTTTGTCATCAAGCAGTGAAACATGAAAGATTACAAGATTAACAAGAAACTTTTGAAAAATTTCTCTCTACTTCAATCGTTATCCTTTTGAGGTGGAATTTTTAGACGATCGAGACCACTGCTTCGAATAAACACAGTAAAAAATTCAATTTTATACACTTTTGCTTCTTCAATAAAAATCAAGACTGAAGAGCAGCATTCAAAAATTTCGTTTATAACTTGGAAAACTCATAACTTCTGCCAGAAGCAACTTGTACCCAAACCAACTAAGGGTATTTCATTCGTAGTTATGCGTTATCTAATTATCATCTTCCCAGTCGAGAAGATTTTTAACACATTGAGAAGTTCTCTCGTCACAGATTAGTAACTCCTTTGTTCCGTTCTTATTGAAACAGTCTTGTCGTATTTCGCACTCTAATGTCAAAGGATGCACAACCATAGCTATTGAAACTTAAAACTGATCTTAAAAAAATTAAATGAGCTTAAAGATTTATAGTCAAAAAAAGCCATAAATATAGTTTTTCAGATGTTTAATTATGTGGGTAAAAACTTGAATACACATACTTCTATCATCAGACATATTATTAGTGATATAAGATAATCGATCGTCTAAAAGCATTTCTAATTGTATTGGAGACAAGAGAAAAGATCGCGATCTCACTTCCCGTGCTTCAACATACTTATCTCGTCTTTTAACGTTCTTTACATCCATTTTGAGTACATTTCAAATAATTGCTGACACTACTTAAGTCAATCTCTTCCTTATTGATGAAAGGAAGATTGTCATATTTTTTATATTCCTAGATTCGTAATCATTTTCTTTTGCACTCAATGTACAAATTCTTCATATGTCAGCAATAATCAATTGACAAAATAATGTTGGACAGTCTGATACTGGGCCATTCAAGGCTTCTAATAAGAATTTTAAAGTCTTTTTTTAAACTATTTTGATACGCAATCTATTATTCTATAGAACTGTCGACTTCAGCTTTTTTGTAACGAATTCTCTTCCTTTCACGAAATTTGTATGCACATCAAGTTGGACATAAAATGGAACGCATTGTACATTGTAGAGTATGAAATTTTCTGTGCCAGGTTGCGATGACAATTCCAAGATTTCGTTCTTCGATCATTCAATAAATACAGTCATATCTAATGTAAAAGTTCTAGAACACATGTTTCTATTTTTTCATGCTAACAAATGTTTTGAAGAACTTAATAATATCTGCTGAAATGAAATCTGTTTTGAAAAAGCTTATTAGTTATATGCTTACGCAGTCAAAAAGTACGAAAGCAGTTATATAAGTTTTAAGTGAAAATCAGGAATAGTTTGAGATAGAGATAATTAAAAATAAACAGAATTCAATTTTCTTTGATGAATGAAACATTTTCGTTATGAGTTTGATTAAAATCATTTATATCGATCACAATCTGTGTTTTATCACTTAAGATTCTCATTTTTTTAAAATTAATTATCAAAACCAGGCTTACAAAATTTAAATTTTAAAGATCAGGATTTTATCAGAAGTGCTCTCTTAGTTGAAATGACAGCAGCATTTATATTTTTTTTCTAAATAAAAATTCAAATTCTCACTCAGATAAGTGCTGTTATCTTTTGAATATTAAGTTAATGATCAGTGATTGAATATAAGTGATAATTATTTTTACTTTACCTCTAGCACAAGTTATGTTTTTTGCTATAGAACAATCAGGAAAACATTTTCTTAGTTACATCAATTATACACGCTTGTAAAATATAACAATGGGAACACTTTATAGGATGAAGAACTAGGGCACTTTCGACAGTACATAATCGGTTAGATTCAGATGTTGTTATATTAAATGTGGTATCGGTGGTTTCACTGGAACAAAAACAACTACAAAGATATAGATTATAACAGTGAAATCGATAGTGATAAATCATACATTGATTAGCTTAAGTTGATTGTGCATTATTGGTGACTTTTTGTTTGCATATGATGATTGATATCACCAATGCTACTTTTTAGAATAGAGAAATGAATATTATTGACAACACACAATATTTTTGTTGAATTGCTTTTTGCATTCTTATAAAAATATAGAAAAAATAGGATTTGATAACATTCCATTTTCGAACTTTGATGTATGTCGTCTATTCACTATTAATGATGGCACAACAGCAACTCTCAAATATGAAATATGTTTTAATAGAACATAAACAGAATTATTTACCAAGATGGTACAGCTTATATCAAAAAATTATTGTCTCACTAATTAGACGTCTCGCTAATATCATCCTTTTTGAGACAAAAAATTAACATGCACACAATATGCACTTTTTTACTATCGCATGTTAAACAAGTGCTTCGTATAAAACTACTTCCTTCATTTGATCATTTTAGTTTGAGAATAATCAAATAAAGACAATGTGTTTTCTTATTGGTTACTACAACCATTAGATCGTGCGGTAGTTCATTTTCTTCTTGTAACTCTTTTACTGTTTCAAAATGTCAGTGACAGCCAAATATGAAAAAAACTAAAAGTCGGGCTAAATCAAAAGAAAATTCTACGAATCAATTCTTGAAATCAAGAGATTTTCTACCAAGAGAGAAGTCCAAAATTCAGGAGTGTCCTAGGCAAATAAGGAGACTTGATAAGCCTAACTACTGATACCATTGCATTATTATATGTCGTATAATTTTGTTTGCAATTAGAATAAAAAGTTTCAATGCATATGGTAATCATTCAAGAGTGCAATAATAGTTGTAACAATATACACTAGCTTATTTCTAGAATACTTTGAAGATCTTTATGTTTCTTGTTTTAAGGATTGTATTCCAAAGATTTCTTCTACATTTTATGTATAATTCGATTAAAACATGAACAAGACTTACAATGAAAAGAAAGATTAAATGATTGTACTTCGTGCAGTCAATCAATTTAATGACTAGGTTAGAAGACATCGTAAAATGTAGAAAGTACTAGGCGATACATTTGTTCTGTTATATCTGCCATAGTCGAGGGTGATATCATTTGTATACGCTTAAATATTAGCATATATATACATATATGTACGAATAACAAAAAATCAAAGATGACTATTCTTTCTGTTAGAGGTCATAAAAGAATAAACATAGTATGCATCTGATATTTTTACCACTAATATCTTTTTCTTTTGAATTATGTTAGTAAAATGGATACTTCAATTGCTGTTGTAATATTCATCGTAGTATATTCTATCCAATGGCATTACCAGTGGTGGCTCGAAGGATTCGTCATTGCGGAAGGCGGGGTTCACGGCTTTTTGGAACAGAGAACATTGTTCTTCTCACAGCATGTAGAAAAACTATAGCTCTGCTGGGAAAAAGCAAAAACTTTTCACGCTTGGAAGGAGGTTACATCTCCAATATTCTCCGATCGGTCCACCACTAGATATAAGACTATAATTCGATGAGAAAAGAGACGTGATCAACAGCAACAAATCAAACATCGTTCGACAGTCTTGATCAATGTATCAAGGTAATTTCTTCAAAAAACTTACCATTTTCTATTGACATATTTTTAATTAACTTACAATAGATATTTACACAAAAATTAGAAGATGCTGAATGGATTTTTGACCATCAATCAACTATTACCATTTTCATATTGATCTAACGTTCTTCATGTGATGTAATAAATCGTTCAAGTGATGCATTCAGAACTATGACCAATGTGTTCTACGTTATAAGAGAATATTCCTCAACAGCTATTCATTGAAGCATGATTGTTGTTCCAGCGTGGATTGATTTCTCTTCATCGTGTTGTAGCAGTCATCAAGATTATTGATATAGTTGTAATCGATCTTTTCCTATCGAGTGCACCAGATATAGTTTATTTCTTATCGAAAGCTTTAGCTAAAATGGCGAACATATAAGTAAAAAATTTCTGCCCATACAGATGAAAGTGATTTTAGCTGAAAGTTGAATATAGATAATAGTGTTGCGAAGTAAAATTTGGGCGAGATGACATATAAAATAAATAATTAATATACTATATTCTAATCGGATCTATTCGTTTTAATCAAAATATTTTCCAAAACTTACGAACAAATTACTTAGCGCTAATCAGCACTGGTTTTTTCGCACATTTATGTTCTTTGAATACTGTTACGTTCGGTAATCATATCTAAATATGTATCATGTGGCAACAACGAAAATTAGATGAAATAATTTTCTCTACTTTTGATTTGGCAGTAATATTCTTCTTCCATGGAAAAAATTTCAAATAATTATGATTACAGGCGCGTTCTGTTCGAAGTCATAAATAAAGAATTATTTGTTTTTTGTTTTGAAAATCATGTTTCAATTTTTTTTAACAATTTTTCCTCTTTTTTTTTCATTAACAAAAACTTCACATTTTCTCGGTGGTTCATTTACTTATCGACATATTCAACAAGCTATTAATTACAAATTATATAAATCAGTTTTAGTTGAAATACGTTTTCATATATCTGATCATTATTTTATTTGCACACCTGAACAAGTTAATGAACACATGATTGTATATCTAATAGGTGAATCTGTTCCATATGATGAAATCAATAATAGATATCTATGGTATGAAACAGATGCAATACGAAGAAATAAATATTTCTACAATATTGAGTGTTTGAGTGAATCTCATAATCGTGCATGTAAGCATTTCCATGAAAAAACTTGGGCCTATTGTGAAAGTGCTAATCAACATAGTGGTTATTCAATATTACGACGTCAATTTTTATTAATGGTTGAAAAATATAAACCAATTCAACTTCGTTACGTATGTAGATGAATAATCATAATATTAATATTGTCTACTATGGAAGTCATAGTTGAATATCATTAAGTACACTATTGAATATAACTTTTTCAGCAAAAGAAAGAAAAATTCTAAATAAAAAGAGAATATTGAAGTTTCAACTCAAGATGTTTACAGACAAATTTTATTGTATTAGTCTGGAGAAAACGTTTTTCAGTATTTTTTTTTCCAGACAAAAATAGCAGATTTCATGGCACTATATAGACATTAGTATTCAAAAAATCAGCTGTTAATTCTCTAATTTTTGTCGTAACAAAAATGCATTATATTTTGCTTAAATATTTCATTACAAAATATTTTTCTTACAGTTTTCTTGTTGTTGGGCAAATTCATCAGATAAAAACTTTTATCTTGATTTATCTATTGAAACAACATTAAAACGAATTAATTCATCACCTTACCCATATATACCAGCATCGTATTATGTTGATTTCAATAGATCAAGAAAAATAAAAATATTTGTCTATGATGCTGACGGTAAAATGATTATTTTTTTTGTTATCGTAACAATAAACTTTGTTTTGTTCAAAATAGATGATGAGATTGTATGCGAACAATTTGAAGATCTTCGTGGATTTTTAACAGTACATGTTGATAATGATTGTACATTGACTTATCAAACAAATCGACTTGGTAAACAATTCGGTCAATTTTGGTTAATGGATCGAAATAAAAATCAAATTCTTTCACGCTCTTTAATTAGTGTTCAATTGTTTATTTTAAAAGATATTATTTGTAATACCCAACCCGAAATTATCGTTGAAAGTGCAGGAGATCGTTCTAATATGTCTACAATTAGAATAAAAGAATCAGTTTATATAACTGTTAGTCTTAATCCTAATTGTCTTTTAATTGAACCTCAAGATCAAACAATAACTGAACTAACAACATTATGTTCGAATGATCAACCAGTTGTTTTAGCTAATGGTGGTATTGAAGTTATATTTCAATGTTCACCAACTTTATGTGAAAAATATCAAGTATGTTTCGTTGGTGAATTCGGTCTTAAGTTACCATCTACTGAAATTCGATGTTTTTCAATTAAAGTCATCGGTACTGGTATGTTATTCAGTGTAATATGCAAAAAAAAATTTTTTAGAATGATCATCCACTCTAAACATAAAATCCAAGCATTAGCAGCTTGTCTACAACTCAGATAAAGAAAATATGTGATCCAAAACTTTTTATAGCTATCATTTATAAATTTCTTTTCCAAGTATTTCTTTACAGAACGTTTTCATTTTCTCTTTGAAGAGGATGAATGTGCACTTGCCGTTAGCAACTATCGTTTTCTGAAACATCACAATCGTCGTTTTGTCATAGCAGAGCATATCACTCACAACAAAATTGCGACAATATCAACAGCATTGTCAAAATCGTCGACATCTATATTACAGAAAACAATATCAACATTACCACGATCAGAGTCAAAAGTGTCGTTATCATCACGATCCAAATTTCGAAGCTGGCTGTGGATTTTAGTTGCTTTTATCTTTTTCCTTTTGATTGGTTTTATTGGATATTTCAGTTACAAGCAAATATTAGTGACATTTAATCGATATTCTTTGAGCAGTGATCAATTTCATTCATCAAGCAGAAGTGATAGTTGTACTACTATTAAATCTGATCTGGTCGGAACATATCCTAGTATGAAACAAATCAGCACGTCCAGTGCTCAACATAATCAGGATGACAACTCGTCAGGTTCGCCTCAAAGAGTAAAAGTTAGAGCACAGTGTATTCGACTAGGAACACTTATTGAAGATGATTAATAAAAAAAATAATTAAATAATTTTTTTTCTACATGTTTAGCATATTTCATATACCTTGAACTTTACAGCGTCCAAAGAGGATAGACCTAATTATTGCATATGTATTTACTTTATCTAATAAAGAAGCAACATATTTAGAAACATTGGTTTTTAACTAATCAGAATAACATATAGTTTTATTATAGCCATTGCAAGAAAGTATTTACAGATACCTTGTTTGTATTATACTAGAGAACTATCTGAAGGCTTAACTGATATGAAATTAACAAATAACAAATGAACATTGAAGAGTAAGGGAAATGACCACATGTTCGTTTTTCGAGAAGTAATATCAAGTTCGAGTCTTCTCTTCTAAAGAACCATGTTTATATAATATTGTTCTGTTCTACACGGCTCAAGCTACTTGTTCATCAATGGTCTATACATTCTGCTCATATACCATGGCAGTTCGATTCTGCACACCATCATTCATGATTCGTGTTATCTGTGCCTATTGTATTATGTTGCTCTATGTTTGTGCTTTGCTTCAATTAGTTTCTTTCTTCATAAAAAGTTACCTGTAATCAGCATTATGTCCCTTTAGGTCCTATTATGGATAGAGGGTTAAATAAATCACAAATACTTCAATGAACGTTGAAGACAGCTAATGCAAGTATAGAAGAAAAAATCTAAAAATGAAGTAACACATTAGCCAATTTGGATGCATTCAGATAAATTTTTGTTGGTCGGATTAATCGGTAACAACTAAGAAGATTAACAAAGCTGATGATAAAAATGAACTTTTTTTTATAGATCTGTTGAATAACATGATACTAAATATTCATTCGTAGTGTACCTAGATTATAGCCACTTTATATCATACTTTATTTACTTCTGGAGTAATTCATGAGGCTTCTATCACCTTCATATCGACTCTTTCTAAATCGCGTGAAACTTCTAGGATTTGTAGACTAATTTGACTTAATCTCATTCATAATTGTAATCTTTTTAATTTCATTTGTACATATTATATATATATATTGAGAATGGTATCTAGCATGGTTTTATGTGAAATTATGAAAATTAGTATTTAGTCGAAAATGATTCCATACAAAAAGTCTTTCGAATCGGGTGTATATGCTATTCAGAATATGTATATATTCTGTTTATTCATGGTCTTCATATAATTTCCTGTGGGTTTTTAAATTTTTTCAACGGTATATTATTACGTGTCAAAGGTTACTTACTGAGGCAGTGTAAGGCACTCTTAAGGTAATAAAACATTATGAAAAAATTGAATTTTTTAGCATTGATATATACATAGAATTTTATAGAAAACCGATTACTCTACAAAGTGCACCAGACCCGCATACAATGGATTATTTTACTGTAATCTGAATGTAGAGGAAAAAATAAATACTCGATTCCAAATAAAAATAGGGGACTAGATGGTTTTTAGAGTCATTTATTACTGTATATACTATAGACCCGATAGAGTCATCATCGAAAAAATAGGGTATATAGGTATATGTGATATTACATAATTCTAGAGAACCCTCTAGATCCACTAGCCCCCCACTATCCAAAAAGATGGTGTATAGACATATACTACAATTAATAATTCTAAAGATTCTCTATCCCCACCAATCGAAAAAATGGAGTATAAAGGTATATATGCTAAGATATAATCCAAAAGATTCCCTGAACCATCATTTCTATTTGAAACCGAGTGTCGTTTTTTTCCTTTCAATTCAGATAAACGTCCCATGATTTCCTCTTTACTACGAGTACATCAAGCTCATCTTTTTGCACACTGTCATCTAATAGAGCTCGTTATGGTCAGCTTCGCTTACAGATTTGGTGAAGTCGTTCTCGAAATTTCAATACGATAATTAGCATATAAAATGCGGTTCACTTTCAAAACTTCGCTTTTCTGAAATTTTGAGGGGGCCGCAAGAGATTATATTGATGCCATTTTACTTTATGGTTTTTGCAGTTACTATGACTTTCATATATTCTACTCCTGCCACTACTTCTAGTTTCTTGAATCTCTTTACTCCATTCGCTAAAAGTAGTTTGCTCACTACTTTTACTCTCTTTACTCATATTACTCTCTTAAAAGAGAGTTTGCCACAATACCGACCATGGTGGCGGCGGAAAAATTTTAGATTTCGACTTTGATCATCTCATTCGAAAGTCCGAAAAAAAATTGCTTAGAAAATCAAAATATCGATTCATTTTGATTTATCTATAACAAAATAGCAGGGACTCCATTTTTTCGACTTCTCGGATCATATCCTAAAAATCGATTTTTTCAATCGTGGTCATATTTTACGCTTTTCTCCTCCATTGTTTGACGCTTTGAGGCGCGAAAAGTCTCAAATGATAGAGAATGAAATTCTCTACAAAATAGCCTATTTATATTGTTTTCTGAATGCAATTTTTTATGAGAAAGAAATCAAGTTTGAAAAAAAAGTGTACAATTTCAGTCATCAAATTTCAGTGTCATGAACGAATGTTCCATCAAAGTAAGAGTTTCGAGGCTGAATTTTTGATATGTTGTAGCCCTACTCACGGCACATCTTTTGGTATATTTGTCATTGAAAAATTTCATCAGGAGGTAATAAAAGTTTCCGTCACGAAAGTTCAAATATAGCACTATTTTACTCTTCTAACATAGTACTGATGAATTGTTTCGTGAATACGTAGAGAATGTATTTATTTGAATAGTTTGAAGTTTTATAATCGGAAAGACAATATGAAAACTGATGGTCCATGGTAAATTCGACGGATCATTGAACTGATCACTGTTGACTACTTCTCGATATATATTTGAAGAAATCATAGAAACACGTTTTACTACTAACTTGTTGAATATGACTTAGATATAGATATATTTTGACCTGTGAATTGGGCGTTTGAATGAGCTTACACACTTGTTAAACAGTATGTAATAAAAATACTGTAAAGGATAGTAACATCCGGAGAGCAGATTCTGGGATAAAAAGATAGAGAAAGCTTCGTTGAACACAATGAATTTTACTAATATAGATCAGAAGCATAATATTTAGAAATTTATTGATCTGATATATCCTCCTGGCCGAAATAAAAGACATACCTAGTTTTTACAATTATCCTTCTCTGCGTCGTTGAAATTGGTCTCATATTTATACCACAAATGCATCTTCGATTGCTTGACTTACCCTGAAAGTTTCAGCTATATACAACGAATTTTCGCTAAGAACATTAAAAATATGTGTCATGTACTCCTGCAGCAGTAAAACCATAATTG